GGATGAAAGCTGGAGGTTCTTGGCTAGAGGGTCTTGCAACTCTGCTAAGAGTCAGACCGATCGCTATATTTATGGTCAAGAAAATAGTTTACCCCATGGTCAAATTGGTACAGACTGGAGGGGAGGGGAGTGTAGTATGGGGTATGGCCGGCCCTCTACCTAGGATCTCTTGAGCATATATTGACAACATTTCATAGAACAGGACATTGGCTGCTACGGTCCCCGTGCTTTACCTGTGACAGGTTAGGGTGTTAGGTCTGTGTTGTGTCAGGGGTGATGGTAGTCTTTTGTAGAGATTAGATTATGGATTTTATTGGATAGTTTGGAGAGGGATGTTCCTGCCTCAGGCCGTGGTTTGGACTAGATGACCCTAGAGACCCCTTTAAGCCCTACCTCTCCATGATTTTATGAATGGAACGTGTTGTCCACCCAGTCACCTCAACAGTCTGGTGCAGGGACCAGAGCTACTTTCCTTTTAGAGGACTTCTCCCAGTGACTGACCCTCCAGGTCTTGTCTTACTTTCCAAATCTGGTTGAGAAGTTCAGTGTGCATTAGCAGGACAATATGGGGAAATCCTGCACTTCTACTCCCCAAGCAATCTCTATTCTATAGATTAGTAGGGACAGCTTATTCTCTCTTGCTCTATAGGGCAGAACATGGAACTAGATGCAGGAAAGACTTACTAACAATAAGGACAGTGGCACAATGGAACAAACTCAATGAGAAGTTGTGGAATCTTCACTGAAGCAAGAAGAGGCTGGATAATGATCTGTCTGGGAAGGTTCAGGACCCTTGTGGTCTTTTCCAATTTTATGATACTGAGAATGGTAGTATCTAAGAATCAAAATAGGTCAGTTAGCATGGTCTGTTGAAGCCATGATCTTTCATCAGGGACAGCAGCTAGTGAAGGGATGTCAGGTGGATATTCATCCACTGAAAATTGTCTAGTTCAGTTTATTGAGGGTCTGTCAATTTTCCATCTTCCACAGTATTAATTAATGTTGAAAAAGACTGTAAAGTATACTGCATGTTAAGACTCAGACAAGTATCTGAGAGTTTCATAGTAGCTAGGGTCAGGAGGGACCTGATCAGATCATGTAGCTGGACCCCCTGCCACAGGCAGGAATGAAGGCTGGGTTCACAAGACCCAAGACAGGTGATCATCTAACCTCTTTTTGAATTTGCCCAAGGAAGGGGTGATGACTACCTCCCTAGGAAGTTGGTTCCAGATTCTGGCCAACCTAACTGTAAAATATTGCCTTCTGATCTCTAACCTAAACCTATTCTCCATCAGCTTATTACCATTGTGCCTCATCAACCCAGGTGGTGCTGGGGAGAAAAGGGCTCTTCCTATTTGCTGATGATCTCCCCCAATGAGTTTGTAGGCAGCTACCAGGTGCCCCCTCAGCCTCCTGTTGCTGAGGCTGAATAGGTTCAGGTCCCTCAGTCTCTCCTCGTAGGGCCTGTCCTGCTGGCCTCTCACCAAATGGGTGGCCCTCCTCTAAACTCTCTCCAGGCTGGCCACATCCTTTTTAAAGCACGGCACCCAGTACTGAATGCAGTACTCCAATTGTGGCCTTACCAATGGCACATAGAGGGGGAGTAACACCTCTCTGGACCAGCTTTAGAATCATTGTTGGATGCATGACAAGGTATGGCTGGCCTTGCTGGCTGCATTCTGGCATTGGCAGCTCATGTTCATCTTGGAGTCAATAATGACTCCAAGATCCCTTTCCGCCTCTGTGCTTTCAAGAGGGGAACTCCCCAGCCTGTATGAATGCTGTGGATTCCTTCTCCCAAAGTGCAGCACCTTGTATTTGTCTACGTTGAACCCCATCCTACATTCATGTTAAATGAAAGAGAGTGTTGCTGAGTATTCATTGCATTCAACTATCTGGCTCCACATGAAAATCAGGGGAATGAAAACATTTAAAATCAAGTAATAAATATAGAGCGCTTGATTAAATGCATGTTTTCAAAGAAAGAGGGGCTGTTTTCCAGTGAGGTCTGCTTTGCCAATAGGCCTGCCACTCTGGCATTGCCAATGGGCCTGTAGGTGATGTAATCCCACACTCTCAAGACCCTGTACACTGCAAGAGTTGTATAAAGAGGGCTCACTATAAATGAGAATCAGGCCCTTGTTTTGGAAGCCAGTTGAGATGAATGCAAATGCTTTAGTAACCTAAAATGAACCAATGTATTAAGCATTTTAATTTTGTCCTTGATTTTTTTGTTTTGCTTTAAATAGGAGGCCGGATAGGGCAGAAGCTAAAATATGAGCAGTGATTCATGGTTTCAGGAAAATATTTAAACATTCACTGACCTTTTATGAATACGGTTACTAAAGATCTTAATTTTTCAGTGTTTCTGTCTGGAATCAGCAATTCTTTTTTGCTTATTTGAAGTGACTTTTAAAGAATTTAGGCACTCAGTCAGGGAGACAAAATGCAGTAAGGGTTGTGTGTGCGTGCATTTCCAATTATATTATCAAGCTCTTCTGTAATGTTATTACAGGCTGTTCCAAGTTACCATGTATAAAAACAAACCACATTGGTTCAAACCCAAAAATCAGAGAAGTAAAAGAAATAAAATAGGTGCAGCTGTAGCAACAATACTATTGTTAAAGAACAGAATTTTCAAAAACAGTGAGAAGGAACACAGAGAGGACAAAGCTGTAGAAAGAATCATTATTAGAAAACATGAAAGCCACACATTCTCTTACTCTCTCTTTCCATCTCATGCTCTCCACACCCTGTAAAAGATCATCCATGCAAGGCAAGAAGAGGGTGAAGTTCTGGGTGGTGTCCTGCATAAGACCATAGTATGGAGAAGTATGCATGCTTTTACATTTTCTCTCTTGGAAGTAGATGAGAAGTGATCTGGAATCCATTTTGGTATAAATATTGTACTTTCAGGTGCCATCTGCAGGTCATACATCCTATGAAATATGTCTAACACAAGAATCAGAATCAGAGGACCTGTCTACACTGCTGTCACAGGTGTGCAGATTAGGGCTCTCTGAAGCTTCGGTAGCTGATTCGATTTGGTGTAGATTCAGCCTGATTCGGGGACCAGATCTCTGAATCTGATTGAATCGGGAGGCCAATTAAAAGGTTTGAATCGATTCAAAGCATCCAAAACTATTTGGAAAAGATTTGGCCATAGACTAAACAGGCAGCTGACACAACTGCCTCCAGCTGGTAAATCTCTTGGGTTTGTCGGGATTGGAGCTGGGGCTGGGACAATCTGCCCAGCTGGGGTGGGAGGGCGCGTTACTCAGGGAGGGAGACATGGGGCAGGGGACGCAGGTGCAACAACATTGGGAAAGGGGGCTATGCCCTGCTGCTACTTGCCCAGTCGGGGGGTGAGGATGGGATGCAGGATGGTGTGGCTCGTTCCAGGTGGAAGGGGGCAAATGACAGCAGGGCATAACACCAGCTACCAGAACTGATGCAGGCATGGCAGCCCTGGGAGCAGGGGCTATGCCCTGCTGTCACCTGGAGTGAGCCATGCCTGCATTGTGCCCCTCCCCCAAACCCCATGCCAGCTGGGCAAACGGCAGCAGGGCATAGACCCCGTGGCTCCCCCCGTCAAGGCAGATCCAGGCACAGCCAGAGGAGCCATGGGAGAAGCCCCTATGGCTGCCCTGCCTGGAGCCATCCCCTGCCTGGCCCAGACTTCCAGCACTTCAAATAAAATTAGAAAAAAAAGTTTTGTACTCACTGGTTCTGGCAGTGATGATCGGGGCCTCTGAGGGCTTGTGGCAGAGCCCCCACCCTATGCAGTACGGGGCAGTGGGGATCGCTCCCCCTGCCTGGCACCCACATGGCAGTTGCCCCATGGCGCAGGTGCAGTGCAGCTCAGCAGGGCGCTGCGTGCTGTGTGGGATCTGGGGAGGCTCCACATGTCAGCCGAAGCCTGGCACTGCTCAGCCCCAGTGGCCCCAGCTCCCAGACAGCACACAATGCCCTGCCGAGCCATGCTGCACCCGCGCAATATGACAGCTGCTGCGCGGGTGCAGGTGGGGGGGTTCCCTGCTGCCCCCCACTGCACGGAGAGGGCTCTGCCCTGAGCACCCAAAGGCACCAATCACTGCTGCTGCAGTTGTGAGTGCGGGGGGGGGTTGATTTTTGTTTTTGGGGGGGGGCTAGGCTGCGCAGGGGATGGGGCCAGGCAGGGCAGTTCTCCTGCCGCTCCCACTGCCAGAGAGGCAGGCATAGCCAGAAGAGCCATGGGAGAACCTGTAGCTGCCCAGCTGTGCCTGCCTCTCCCCGGCCAATCCAAATCACCAAATCTCTCCGAATCATTGCCAAATCTTCTAAAGCTGATTTGGCCAAATCGATTCAGGGCAGTGATCCGAATCAAAACACTGTCCTCCGAGCCAGCCGAATCTGACTCTGAATCTAATACTTTCCTATTTGCACAGGTATAGTGCAGATGTCTATTTTGCCACTGCATAGTACCCAGGAGTGCTGTTAAGAGTCAAGTCCAGGTCACTCACTCAAGCTCCATTTGTGCCCAAACCTGGCAATTAACAAGTGGGCAGGATTTGACTACTGTTGGAGGCCCTGGGCTTGGCAGGGAGGAGATAAAGACATGCCTCTAGTAAAATGCTGAGCACAAGTAGATCGCAAACTCCCATCCCCACCTTGACTTCACTGTAGCCAGGCTTTTGCCCATACATATTAAATTTATTTTCCTGGAACAATCATTGGTAATCATGTTCTTAAGTTAAAAAATAGAACTGAATGTTGGTAAGAAAAAATTATTGATGGTAAGAAAAAATATAATTAAAAAAAATATCTCTGCAAATAGTGTTGCAATTGGTCTTTTACAATTTTTTTTAAATTCACTCCAGACCCAGTTGTGTTTGTCATTGATATAATTTAGGAATCAAAGTGATAGCACTGCATTTAAATGAAATGTAATGCAGTGATATAACTGAGGGGGTTTATTTCTGAATATGGAGGTGAAATTCACAATCCAAGAAATGCTCCAGGCAGTCTGAAAGTGTAGACTCCTCTTTGGAACTTAAGCAATGCATACTATCTTGCTGATGGACCCCATCTTCTAAGAATTGAGTTAGGTCAGTTATAATGGTTCATTGAATATGTGTTCCTTCATCTGTGACTGCCAACGGGGACGTCCGTTAGTGAAAGGGTGCTAGGTATTTTGATGTCATGTAAATACTCATCCACTGAAAACTCTATGGAACACTTTGATTTACTGTACATATTTATGCTAGCTTCTTGTCTCCTCTAACCTGTAACCAAGAAATACAGAATTTTGTTGGTCTTGCACGCAATCAAGATGAAAGAGGCACAATGACATTATTCCTCAATGGTGAAAACATCACTATAACGTTCACCCTTTGCAAAATACATTCTTATGTAATGACAGAAAGTATGACCTGTCTTGGCTAGAATTGGTGCCAAGTTGCTACCCTTTCTTTTTTCTTTTTTAAGACTGCATGTATTTTGTGGAGCTATGAATATTATTAAGAAAATGTAAATACACACTTAACAATGTAGAATGACTACCTGAAATTCAGAAAGATAAAAATGTGGCTGTCTGCAAATAACCTTACTATTGCTATTTGACACACATTTTGAAAATGAAGTGTAGAGGGCAATACTAATACAATATCAAAAGCTAAAGAGTGAACGGAAGTCACTAATTCTGTAGAAAAGAAGAGTTGGACTTCATAAAGGAATATACTATACTCTCCCTTAGCTTCTAAAACCCAAACTTCTTAACTTCCATTTCATGTCTCATTTCCATGACATGAGAGATTAGCTCTGTGTCTAGAACTCAGTTTGTGTTCAACAACTTGCTGAATCAGGTCTCTTCCCCCCTAATTATTCTGCAAACCCCAGCACTAGAGTTTCACCCCATCTGCTTACTGGTTCCCTTCTAGTATTCTGAACATGTTCTCTCTGTTTCCACTGCCAAAAATATTCCCTGTCCTCCAGTAAGACAGGATCTGGCAATGAAGATGTTGGGTCAGCTGTGAGAACATGTCCATGGGTTCAATTAAGTTTTTCTGGCAATGTGAAAGCAGGCAGGGTGGGATAGGATAGGACTCACTTCACATAAGAGTTTTGACCTCATCCGGCTGCCAGAAATGCTCTTTGACCTTCAGTCAAGCACCTCCTGTGCTACCACCACCCAAAACTTTGAACAGCAATTTCCAGACAGGCCAGGTGTGCAAGGAGGGATTTTCACCTTCCTGAGACACATCACGTACTGGAAATTGTTCAGCAGTCTATGGATTCCCAGAGCAATACTTAACACTACTAATTTTACTGACATGAACATGACTGGCTGAAGGCCAGAAATAGCATCAATTTAGTTATTGCCAAACTACTAAAAACAAATAAATCAAATATAGTTTACTAGTGTTCTTGACTTTTTCTCTGAATTAGATTAGTACATGTTGGAAGTGGGAATTCAGTTGGACTATAAAGGAGAACTAGTTGAGATAATTTATTTTGATTTTCAAAACACTTTTGACAAAATACCTCACAAGAGGCTATTAAGGAAACTCAGGAGTCATAGGGTGAGAGGTAATGTTGTGTCATGGATCATAAATTGGCTATGAGACAGAAAACAGAGTAGGAACAAAATGGCAGATTTTCAATATGGCAGATTTTCATCTGTGGGCTGCTCTAATGTTATGTGATAGCAGTTGATGTTCATTAACACATTCATTAATGGACTGGAAAAGGGATTATTGGCTAAGTAAGAGAAACTGCTGCAGCTACAGTTATTCAAGTTTGTCAAGACAAGCCTAGATAATTAGGCAACACACTGGCAGAGGAAATTCCATTCTGGTGTACTTCATGCAAGGTGGGTTGGGAGGAATATTGCTCATTTAAATTCTTGGGTTGTAAATTATCTATAACCACTCAAGAAAAGAATGCGAGTGAACAACTTAATAAAGATATTGGCTACTGTGCAAAGGAAAGAAAAGAAAATGTTAGGATGAACACAGAAAGGGGTAGAATTCCATAGAAACCCCACTGGTGGTGACTGCCCAGAGCACACAGTGAATCAATACAGTTTCTTAGTCAATTGTACAGTTTGTGGGTTGAGTTGGCCTACTCTGGACCTCAACTTTCTCTGCAAAAGGAATGAATCTAAAGGTATTCTTTGTCTCTGCCACCTTCACAAATTTATCCAGATGGGTTTCCTGTTGCTAGAGGCTTCTAGCCCAGGTTTTTTGCCTGTGGGAGGGAATCAAGGTGATAAACACAGATTCATCTCGCTGCATTGAAACACAAATGTTTAAACAATGTCCTGCTACATTATGCAAAAACTTAGGATATCTGAATAACATCATACTTGCTCAAAAAAGCCAAAAGAATTTAGATATACACAGCTACTCAGTTCAGCTGTGTTGAAATTTGGCTATGATATTGTGGTTAATGATCTTAATCAGAAAGGCTAAAATATTTCTTTTGTTTTAGTTCTCCCTTGAAACTAAGTAATATTAAGGATTATTTAGGCTCACAAGCTAGGAAGGTGTTTCTTTAGTGACGAAGGGAGATTATTTGCCACAGGATGGCAGGATTTCCTAGTCCCTCTAAACCCAAGGTAATAACATCAAGCACCCATAATACCCAATTAATCACTAGGTTATATGGAAGCTCTTTGTACCTCTGTGAAAATGTAATCTCATAATAGCAAGCCATGCTCTTGCTACTAATTTAATGCATCATTTTTCTGGATGTAAAGTCTTATTCTCTTCAGAGGAAAGTGACATAGGGTGAGAACTAAATGGGATAACAGGGCAATCTCAGTTCAAATTTGCAAGCGAAGGCAAAAATCAGGCTACTTATATCAAACTAAGAATTTCTCTTAATGTCATTAGATAATTCAGTCTCAAAGAAAAATAACTATTGTATATGGCTGAAATACAATGGATAATCCCAAACTGTGCTGGATCATAGTGCAATAGAAAAGTAGATAATGGAACAGACAAATAAAACTAACTAAATCTACCACAGAAAATAGAAAAACATGCAACGCGGAAAAAATGATCACATTCTCTGGGATGATCAGGCTATTTTATGCCTGTTTCACTCAGTGCACAGGATGGACCGGATCCAGAGATAAATAAAAGTTGTGTAGAGACGGTTGTCTAGTCCTGTTGATGGTAGGATTCCTGTAACTATTGTTGCAGAAGCTGGAAGGTGTCTAAATGAACAAGGTAGAGGATTACAAGAAGAGAAAGAATGGACCTAACGTTAAGGCAGATAAATACTCCCCTGGAACATGGATTCTATTTCTGACTCTGCTATGAATTCCTATGTGGAACTAGGTAAGTCATTTAAATGAGCCTTTTCATACATGAACCAAAGACTGCGGCGCTGGTGTCATAGGGAAGATTTTGGCTTCCATGACCACAGCCCGCTCCTTGGTAAGAAAGGCAGCGAGCTGCTGGGAAGAGATGGCTTCCACCTCTCTCCCCTGGAGAGGAGGCTCTTCTCAGCCAGACTAGCTGACCTACTTCACCGGGTTTTAAACTAAGCCTGCTGGGGGATGGGGGGACTACCGCCACTGCTGGGCTGCTGAGCAACCCTTGCAAAGCCAGCCGGCCAAGGCACTTAAGGGAGCCCACCTCTGCCCCAGCCCTGGTACTATCTGTGGGCAAGGCAAGAGCCCCCAGCCTGTACACAAATGCCAGGAGCTTGGGGAATAAGCAGGAGGAGCTCATCCTCCTGCTTAATGCAAATAATTATGATGTCATAGGGATAACGGAGATCTGGTGGGACTCGATCCGTGACTGGACCAAGGGTATAGATAGCTATACCCTGTACAGGAGGGATTATGTAGATAAAAGGGGCGGGGGTGTAGCTCTCTATGTTAAGGAAAGCTACATGTCCCTGCAAGCTGATATTGGCGACCAGGGTGGACAACTGGAGACCCTCTGGGTAAAAATCCATGGGGAACACAGCACAGGGGACACAATTGTGGGAGTCTACTACAGACCTACCACCCAAAGTCCTGAGCTTGAC